GGTAGGTAGGTAGGAGGAACTACTGGCAGCTAGTCGGTGGAGACCAGGGAGGTGGAGACCTACAGTGCACAGCATAGCCCCCCGCCGCCCCCATCCTGAAAATGAGTGTATTAGTCTGCTATGGCTGCCATGACAAAGCACCACAGAGTAGATGGCTTAAACAAAAGATATTTACTGTCTCCCCATCCTGGAGGCTGGAGTCTGAGATCCAGGTGTCAGCAGGGCTGGTGTCTCCTGAGCCCTCTCCCCTTGGTGTGTGGACGGCCGTCTCCTCCCTGTGTCCTCAGTGGACATCCCTGTGTGTGTGTTTGCATCCTGATCTCCTCCTCTTATAAGGACATCAGTCTTATGGGATCAGGACCCAGCCTCATGACCTCATTGTACCTTAACTGCCTCTTTAAAGATCCATCTCCAAATACAGTCACTTTCTGAGGCCCTGGTGGCTAGGGCTTCAACACAGGAATTCTGGAGGACACGAGTCAGCCCGTAACAGTTTTCCTGTCCAAAATATCAACAGTGCCGTGGGGGAAATCCCTGAACTAGGGGTACGCAGGTGACTGGCTTACGGAGGCTGTGAAACCTCAATTCAGCACTCATTTATTTCTTTGTGACCCTTCCTGCCTGCTAAGGCCCGTGGGGTCACCTGCAAAGTCTCCTTGTCCAGCTCGCCACTCTGCCCTGAAGGCCGCCATGGCGCCATGTCTAGGAGAGAAGGACAGCGCACTGGACCCTGAGGCCAGAGATCTGCAGCACAACCTGCCCTTCCAGTCCTCACAGGCACGTCTGGACGACTGATTACAGAGATGTCAGCTTCATCCCCTGCCCCCAGCCACACAGTCCCCTGGCTTTAAACGCCAGGAGAGGTGGACTCATGCCTGTCACCCTTTCTCTACCTCAGTCGTAGTCCAACTGCACCTTAGGACAGGTGGCAGGTGCATGAAGGGCCCCCGTGAGCCTGTGGCTGAGAAGCTTCCGGGATGCAGGGCTCTCAGCACAAAACTGAAAAAGTCGTAGGCACACCAGGACAACATGGTCACTCTATACAGTACAGAAGCAAGTAAGGGACCAGGGTTACCCATTTTTTAAAGAAGTGAATGGAGAGAGGGGGAGGGTATAGCTCAGTGGTAGAGCACATGCTTAGCATGCATGAGGTTCTGGGTTCAATCCCCAGTACCTCTGTTAAAGAAAGAAAGAAATAAACCTAATGACTTCCTCCCACCCACCCCCAAAAACCCCACAAGAATAAAGAGAGAATATATATTTTCTTAAACAGCTGAATAGAGAAAGAAAAGACACACTCTATGATGGACTGAACGCCTGTGTCCCCATAAAATCCACAGGTTGAAGCCCTAACCCCAAATGACACGGTATTTGGAGGTGGAGTTTTTGGAAGTACACTTCTGATACCAATTCCAAATGCAGAGTTTTCCAACACCAGGAAGCAATTCTCCGACAGCAGCTGGGTATCCTACAATACAACTCAATTCTGTCTACCCTGAGACAGGATCAGACCCCACAGCGTGAGGGCTCAGTCCCACAAGACTGCCCACCACGCAACCCTCAATCGAAAGCCACCTGTGCTTCTGTCAGACCAGCTTTAGAGTGGAGATCCCCACAACCCCCTCCTAGGGTTTGATTAATCTCCCAGAGTGGCTCACAGAACTCAGCAAAACAGCTTACTTACTGTTCACTGGTTTAGTATGCAAGAATGTGATTCCGGAACAGCCAGATGGAAGAGGTGAACAGGGCAACGTACAGGGAATGGGTGTGGAGCCCCCGGGGCCTCTCCTGTGCACCACCCTCCCACGGCCTCCACCTGTTCCCCAACCTGGATGCTCTCTGAACCCCGTCTTTTGGGGTTTTATAGAAGATTCATTACACGGCAATATTGACTTTATCATTGGCCACTGGTCATTGACTCAACCTCCAGCCCTTCTCCCCTCCCTGGAGGTTGGGGGTTGAACTGAATGGTCCAACTCTCTAATGACATAATTTGTTCCTCTGGCAACTAGTCCCCATACTTTGATGCTTTGCAAAAGTCACCTTATTAGCATAATAAAAGCCACCTTGATCTCTTTCCTCACTTAGGAAATTCCAAGGGTTTTAGGAACTGTCTGAAATGGAATGAAGACTAAATATATATTTCTTATAAAACACAAGGACTAACTGGGTCTAGGTGAGGTCATGAGGGTGGAGCCTCCACGATGGAGTTAGTGCCCTTACAAAAACAGACACCAGAACTCCATCCCCACCTCCCCACCCCGTGAGAGGATACGGAGCGAAGGAAGTCATCCAAGAACCGAGAAGCAGGCTTTCTCCAAGAACCAAAATCTGCCAGTACCCTGATCTCAGACTTCCAGCCCCCAGGACCCATGAGAACTACACGTCTGTTTCTTTAAGCTGCCCAGCTCATACTTCGTTACAGAGGCCCGAGCAGACTGATACACTCTCTGAGTAAGTGTCTCCCATCTGCAAGGTCCAAAAGGAATTTCCAAGTCTCTGAAACTGACAGATCACGACTCTTAGAACTGACCTAAGAGGTCATTGGTTATTGTGTCCTGTTTAGAGTTTGATCTTATTAAATAGAAAGAAAACAATATATCTATATATGTATGTATATGTATATATACACTTTATATATGTGTATGAAATGCCTTATGTATGGATGGATACACACATAACGTACATAAGGAAAACAAGTAAATATAAAATACAAATAAAATTATGTATATATATATACAGGATGTGGCATATACATGGATATATATAAAGAGTGTCAAAGTTTCACTTAAGATATCAGTACTCTGATGCCTGCTGTCTGTCGCCTGCACTGCAAAGTTTCAGTCTGCTTTTGTGAGTTCTCCGGCTAAAGGATTGCTAAGCATGAAACCAGGGCGTCTGACATCTTCACCACCTGCATCTATGTTGTTTGCTTATTTTTGCAGCAAATCTTTAGGAAGCTTCAAAACTCAGGCAACTCCCGAAGCTCCTTCTAAAGGAGCCCACTTTCCCCTACACAGAGATCTACAGCTCCGTCCTTAACCTTGCTGTTTCAAATTCTCATTGCTGGCACTGGAGCTTCCCTCCCCCCCCACCATTTAAAAATACTCCTTTTATCTTAGGAATCAACAGATGCAATGCTGATTATAACAGGGAGAGAAAAATAACTCTCTCCTTTGTGTGTTCATTTGTTTCCAAGAATAGAAAGCAACCGGGAGCAAGGGTTCTAAAGGTTCCAGTAGGTGGGCATGGACATAAAGTAGGCGCCCAATGTTTGTGGAATAAACCTGTCACAGGCTGAAGAAAATAAATTATGTAGAAGTTTCAACCTTCATTACCTCAGAATGTGACCTTATTTGAAGACAGGGTCTTTATACAAGTAATTAACTTAGCATGTGGTTATACATATAGATATGACCAGTATCCTTATAAAAAGGGGAAATTTGGACATAAAAATTGATGCACAGAGAGAAGATCTGTAGAAGAAGAAAGCCATGTGCAAGCCAAGACAGAGGTCTGGACCCAATCCATTCCTCCCAGTCCTCAAGACAGTAAGCCCGTCTACACCCTGACCTCAGCCTTCTGGCCTCCAGAAGTGGGAGGCAACACCCTCCTTTTGTTGAGACTACCCTGTCTGTGTGCTTGGACACAGCAGTCTAGCACATCTGGGCCACAGTCCCCTCATAAGGCTTTGATAGACTGCCTTCTGTGAGGTCCAGTGTCCTCAATGGGAAATCATGATTGGACTAAACCAGGGAATGCCTCCTATCACCACAGCTCTAAAAATATAAATTAAGTGAGCATATACTATTTGCCAGTACTAAGAGATGCACCTGCCCTGTGTCATTTCACACCCACGAGGAAACAAGAGACACCGGGGTTTACTGCCGACCACTGCTACACTCGTGCTGAATCCCGGTGTCCCCTAGTCCACAGCTTAGGCACTTAACGAGAAATACACGCCCACATTTTAAAGTCTCTGGAACTTTGTTATTTCTGCTTCTTGAAAGGGCCTATCTTTATATTTAAACGTGCATGCCAACTAACACTAAATAGAAACAGGAAGAAAAAAGCTATTTCTGAGACTTGCGGGAAAAAAAAGAAAGGGAAAAAGAACCCCCCTTCCCAACCCCAGTGCTTTTCAGGTTGCGTTCAGAAAGTTTGGGGGGAAAAGAAACCTCAGAGCAACCAAAGACAGATGAGACATACAAGGCAAAAAAGACAAGGCATTTTAAAAAAGTCTTATTAGGTCGGCCTTTTCCTATCAAGAGTTCGGCGGGAGGAGCACACCGGGAGAATGTAGCAGCCAGGGATGCTCCAGGATACAGGCGGGAGGGCTGCGGCCCCGCACGCCACTGCGCATGCGCCCTGAGAGGTCCGCGGGGAGTCGGGCGGGCGAAACAGAACGGGAAGCCTGTCCAGGGTCCAGGGCTGGACGAAGCTACCGGGGTCCCCACAACTAAGGCCACTTGGCTGTCCACTTACTTGGTGGCTCTCAGGAATGCCAACCTGAGCACCTTTGCATCCCTCCTCCCAACAACGCGGTGCACCGCAGTCCCTCCGAGCCCTCCCTCCTTCCTCACTCCCTTTCCAAATTCAGGCCATTGCCTTTGCCCCGAACCCAGACTAGGCACTCGGCTCTGCTCGGCCCCTTGAAGGAGCATCCCAGCTCATTTATGGGTGTGAAGTGAGGGTGCGGGGAGGTGGATGCGGGCAAACTTGTCGCGCCCGCCCGCGCCACTTCTCAGCCCCGCGGTGACGGGATGGGTAACTATGATAGGCGCGCGTGCGCGGGACATTCCGGCGAGGCCCGGAGCGCGCGTGCGCGGGAGCGGCTCCGGGCGCGCAGGCGAAGAATCCTTCTGAGGCGGCCATAGCGCCGCGTGCGCGGGGCGGCGGCTGCTTCAGGGCGCGCGATTTTTGAGGACCCTCGCCAGGGGGCCAGAGACGCGCGTGCGCAGAGCTGCGCGGGGCGCGCGAGGCTGCCCGGAGCGCGCGTGCGCGGGAACAGCTCGGGCGCGGGCGCGAGGAGGCCCGGGGCCACGCGTGCGCAGAACGGCTCGGGGCGCGCGGGGAGGCCCGGAGCGCGCGTGCGCGAGTCGGCAAGCGCGCCTCCTCCCCGCCCCCACCCGGCCGAGAAGTCTGCACAATGGCGGCGCCCGAGCCCCCGCCGCGTCCCGTCACCCACCTGCTCTTTGACATGGACGGCCTCCTTCTGGGTGGGTAGCCGGCGGCCGCCTCCCGCGAGGACTGTCAAGGAGGGCGCGGGAGGGGGGCGCAGTCCCTCAGGGCCCCGGGTCGCCGCGAGGCGGTGTCTGGGACCCCCGCGCGGGCGGGCGGCGGGCGCGCCGGGGTCACGTCACGCCGGACGCGCGCGGGTCTGAGGCGTCGACGGCGCCCGGGGCACTTACTTCCGGCGGCCTCGCCGCGGGTGGGGACGGAGTGCGTGGGGGGCGGCGCGCGACGGCGCGTGCTCGGGGACCACCGCGCGGGCTGGAGATTTCGGTTCCGCCTTGTGGGCCGCGGGCGCTGCGTGCGCAGCCCGGCCTCAGTTTCCCCATCTGCTCCCTGGCCTCCAGGGCCCCTGCCGGCTTGCCCCGAGATGCACGCACCTTGCTTGTAGCATCCTACAGGGCATGGTCCTCCACCGGCCGATGTAGGGGCATCTGGCAACGTCTGGGGGCGTTTGGAGTGACTTAGCGGGAGGGTGGGAGTTGTCGGCATCCGAGGGGTAGCGGCCTGGGATGCTGCTGAACCTCGTGTCGTGCACAGAACTGCCCCGCACCACGCAAATGCTCCAGACCCCAGTTTCTGTAGTGCGGAGGTGGTGGGGGAGCCCTGTAAGCGGACTGGCTGGTCAGAGTGACTCCCTCCACGGACATCACCTGGGTGCTGCTTTGCAGTGCAGATCACAGGTCCCCACCCCGCAGCTGTCCAATCAGAATCTGCATTTTCACCCAGTGCCGGAAAGTTCGCGATGCATAGTCCATGCGTGTGCACCTAACAGTCCCGTAGTCGATGGCGGTAGGCATGAACTTCACCAACCAAGAGGAATTCAAAGAAAACGCTCGATTTATAAGAGAGCTGCCCTGAGCGCTCCTTAAAGCTTAGGCATACCTTTCATAACAATGTGAAGCATTATAGTGTTTTGAAACGTGTTCTGATCTCAGAGCCTCTGGGAGGCTTAATAGGGTTGTAAAAATTTCTGCATACTTTATGTAGACTTTTGACCGGTGGACATGTAGATACATTAGTGCTTCATCTCATAAAATTCTGCAAGGGGGGAGGAAATATTTGCATTGACTAATTGAAAACAAAAACGGTGCAAGCCAGAGAGGTAGAGTTACTTGCCCAAGGTCACACAGCTAATAAGGACCAAAGCTGAGGAATGACTCCAGATCGATCTGATTCTAAATATAAGTGATGTTGTGCTTATGTTATATGGTGAGTGTGACCTTGCCCCTGATGAGCATATGGCTCACCGGTTCAGGAGTAATGAGACTGATTTTTTTTTTTAAGACACACAAAAAACAGTCTTTTCATTTTATGGACCCAGAGATATAAACACATAAATTCCTAAGGGGGAGAATAAATTCCCGTAGGTGTCACTAATTGGTGTATGCAGTTACTAAATCTGAAATGACTCAGTTTCAAAAAGCTTCTGGGATTTGTAAGTATAGTTTGTAGACATGAGTTTTCCTGCTCAGGTGGTCATGTTAAATTGTCAGATTCCTTAACCTCTAATGAAAGGTCCAGAGGACCTGTTGTGAGTCTCTTGAATTTAAAAGCAAACCGAGATTTCTTATTAAAATTGAAGTTATTTAACTTTTAAACGAGCTTGATACTTCCTCCCGACCCAAGATTCATACATAGCCATTCCGTGGAGCTGTGACTGATTTAAGTGGTGATACCTGCAAGGGTAGTTATCAGCCAGGGCTCCTGTTTGCTAGTTAGGGCAAGCTGAATGGTTGGTCAAGCACTGAGGTCTGACACTGTTACCCAATCCTCTAAACTGGTCAGACAAACAAGAATTAGTGACCTTTGGCAAGATAAGACGTAGCCCTTTTTCCCTCTTCATTTTCTTTCTGCCCTTTTCCTCCTTTTTGTCTTGACTTTTCTTTTGAGCTGGGAAGGCCTTGCAGAACTTTCTCAGAAATTCACCTTTGCTTTTTCTACTATTTTACAGAATGTCTGGTATGAAACACTGCTTTCCAGCATGTGCTACTTTATCTCATTTAATCTACCTGGATTATACCTGCTCTAATTCTGAAGCACCTGACTTCAGTCTGTTTGCTTAGGAATGTATCACCAGTTCTTTTTCCAGGAGGCCTGCTTTTCAGAAACTTGAATGCATCTCCCCAGGATATTCTGTGAACGTAACCTGTTTGTTAAAGAAACCTTGCATCCTCAGGGAAGTGAAACTGAAAACAGAGAGTTGCATGCGGAATTCTTATAAAATGTATAGAAGGGAGAAGCTTGTTTAACCAGAGAGGAATGAGGAAGTAAGTTGTGATTTTTGGAAAAATGTTGCCTGGAACACCAGTGTACCTTCTGGTGCATTTGAAATGTTTGGTCCCGTTGTCCTTTCAATCAGAAAGGACCCTTTGGAATTCTGTTCTTGTTGACACAGGTCACAGTCAGCTATGAGCTAAGTCATAATTTTGGCCTTCAGATGCCAATTAGAGACAGAAAAAGGGGACTGAGATTATTTATGAACAAGGATAAGATTTCGAAGGAAGACAAAGACAGGTATTAAACAGTGTCTCAGCTCCCGAATAGGGAAGATTATCGAGTTCATTAAATAACTGAAGTTGGGAGCACCAGAGGTAGGTCCATTCTCTTTAAGAGACAAGGAAGTCTGTGGTCTAGAGTCGTGCTGTCTCATTGAAGTAGGACCATGCAAAAGCAACATTAAAAAAGCAAAAAGACACAGATGGAATGAACTTGAATGGTACCCTTTTTCTGTCCTAACAGATCCAAAATATTATTACTCCACACAAGCAAGAGAAAAACCATTGAGATCATTTATGCTCATTTTTGTTACCTCGCCTTTGGAATCTCTGTGTATTTGACACTCACAGCGCATCTCAGCTCAAACTATCCAGGTGTCAGGGGCTCACTGGCCACGTTTGGCCAGTGCCTACCATTTCGGACAACCCAGGTACAGAGCTTTAGGAAGCAACTCACTGATGTCTTCTGTTGAGAAGGTGGAGGGTGGCTGTTAAAGAATATTCAGAATTAGGAATTCTGTGGTCTACATAAAATATGTTTTCTAGGAGCCTGATACAGTAATTAAATCCTCAAAAAAAAATCAGCCAAGAAAAATGAAAAGCTTATTTTCAAATTCTTTAAAAATCAGCAGAAAAAGCAGTAAGATAGGTCTGTGAGGGGAAATGCAAATACTTGCAGTGTTGATTATAATTCACCTTGTCTCCATAAATGCACAAGGGTTGCAGGATTTTAGTGGGTGACACCTGGCTTCTGCTTGGCCTTCAGCTGAGGAGTAGAGGTCCTGTTCGGTACCTGTTTGTACTCCCGTAGCATCGTACCTGCCAAGTCAGAGCGCTTGAGGCTGTCTGGAAGTGACTGTTTCTCTGCATGGGGACCGGGAAACCCCATACACTCAGCACAGGCAGGATCGCTGCGGTGCTCGGGGAGCTCCGGGAATGACTGGCTGACCGAACCAGTGCACTGCCAGGCCCAGCCTGGGTCGGAACCCTCCCACCCTGCGGGTCTCCTGCTCACCCCACCTGGGCTCATTTCCTTACACACTGGAGGGATCATCCACAAAGCTCATGACAAAAATAGAGTTTTCCTTATGGCATTAGCACATGCCCTTGATCAATTTTCAGAAGAACCTGTGTTGTATTTGACCTCTCGGAACGTGTATGAGGTTCCAGAGTGGAGGTGATGAGCTTTGCAGTGTCTGTTGGTCCTTATCCCGGAATATGAGCGAGTCCAGGTGTTCCCAGAGCGTCTTGGCACTGTCTCAGGAAGGTAGCGCAGAGTAAAGGATCGCTCGTTGGAGACACCTCGGTATGTGGTGACTGCCTTGGCGCTCCCAGAGATCCCTCATTCTTCATTTGGAGACTCCCCCCCCCACTTTTTTGTGCACATTGCGGTCTCACTCTGGATGTCAGGGCAACTGTGTTATGGTACCTCCCCCTTCTAACTGCCCTGGGCCCCCCCAGAACTCATGACACACACTTGGGTTTGATGTCACCTTGACAGGTGACATTTAGGCTTCTTCCACACTTGCCCAGGAGTTGGCTGAAATTCGGAGGCCAGCCTGAGGCCTTGTGGTCGAGCAGAGCCCACACAGCAGGGGGCCCTGAGTCCTCCGTTCTCAGTTTGGAGTAAGATGCTGGCAGGGGTCAGGGAAGGATGGAACAGGCTGTTGTGTGTCACAGAAAATTCATCCATAGTGAGAAAACAACCGAGGGAGGACTGAAGTGGGTAAACTCAGGTCCCATCGGCTGTGCTTCCCAATAGACCTGAGCCGTGTCAACCTTCAGTGTGCTCCTGTGGTTAGAGGTTACTGGCCCGCCACAGCTGCTCTGGCTTCTAGAATAACTGAGAAGAGGGTGAGGCCAGAACTGTAAAATTCCACAGACAAATGCGAGTGTCCTCCAGCTGGCTCCGTGGCTGAACTGCTCTGCAGGTTCCTGTGGCTGCAGGCGTGAAATTTCTCCCTGTGCTTTCTTTTCTCCTGGCTTCCTCATGTGCTCTTCTTTGGAACCCTCGCTGCACAGACGGGATGTAATCAGTCACAGGAGAGCAGTCGTTGCTCTCCCCTGGAAGCTGTTTCTCCTTTCTTCTCCTTGGACAACCGTGCGTTGGGGATTCCTCAGTCCCTTTTGTCTGTCTGATGATTCACTGCTCACTCTCATTCTATTTCTTTCATTTTTTAAATTCTGTGTTCGTTTGTTTTTCCTTTTATTTTTTTTCACTCTATTTCTTTTCATTTTTCTCTTTTATTTATTTATCTTTTAATCGGCAATAATGCATCAACTATGCTCTGTCATTTTTCAGGGGTAGATGGACATTGAATGCAGTGTAAAACAGCAAGGGAAATAATGCCCCCAAGGAAACACTCATTACACAGATGCCGACTTTTCAAACCTTTGGGGGGGATGTTTGAAAAGTGACGGATACGTAGCCTGTAGCTGGAAGGTTCAATGTGCCAGGATGGGTTATGTTGGAAAATACATTTCTCCCTTTCAGTTATATGGGGAGACCAGTGACTCAAAATTGCAGCATTTGATATATTGAAAGGTTCACTGAGTTGTGCTAAAATGGGGCGTGAGGGTGGGGACAGCCCTGGTTTAATGGTACATATGTCTGGTTTAAAATTGTCTTCAGGGTGCCTGAGGAGAAATTTCTCAAAAATATGCTAATTGTAACATCTGCATTTCGGCTTGAGAAATGTTTTCCCCCTTGGGCTTTGCGGGCTGAATTGCCATTCTTGCAGCTCTTCTCATACCTTTTCAGTGTGTGGCAGGTACATCCCCACCTTCCTTTGTGCCCTGGCGTCCTCACGTCCTTCCCTGGGACGCCTCGGGTCAGCAGCTAAGCGTCTGGGTGCGGAGTGTCTGCGCGGAGAGGGGCCCACGCGGGGAATGAGGACGGTCTCCTCGCACGCCCTGGCCTGGCGGGCAGTTCCATTGGCCTTGCTTGCGGCACTGGGCTGGGCCAGGCCGCTGGTGACTCTTGACTCCCCTCTGTAGGCCTGGAGACCAGGAACAGACCCAGGAGCAAAGCGAAGTCTTTGCGGCTCCCAAGAGGCTGTCCAGTCTGTGCGTGAAATGGGAGCATGTGTTCACAGTTGGCACAGCTAAGCTTAGCTGGGGCCTCGGAGACAGAAGCCAAAATAAGCAGCAGGCTCCCCTCCCTCTCCTGTCACTGTCGTGTCCCTGATGAGAATGGGGCACCTGTCTGCTCTCTGGACCAGCACTGGCCCTCGGGCAGAACTGCCTTTTGTGGCGGGAACGTATATCCGAGCTGCCTGCACGGGAGCCACAGATAGCACTTGGGCATATGAGATGCGGCTCATGCAACCGAGGAATGAACTTTTCATTTCATGTAGTTCACTGAGTTAAAGTTTAAGTAGCCACCGTGGTGGACCACACACCTCTCGAAGTGTGAAGTCACTCACTCTTTTATCTGTTGAGCAAATATAGTGCCAGGTGCTGTAGAGGATTCAAGACAAGTCTCTGGTTTTTCATGCGCTTGGTGTCCAGTTGGGACGTGGACCAGTGACTCGATAAGTGCTGCTGATGAGAGTGGCAGGGACATGATATGGGACAGAGCAGTGCTTTGAACCGAAGTCGCTGGGAGGATGTGATGCCAAGGACAGGCGGCTGCAGAGAAGTGGATATTCCAGACCAGGAGCAGGGATGGCAGAGCAATAAACATGTTCTCTGAAGCAGAGAGGAGATGACTTTTATCAGGCAGAGAGTTGCATCTAGAAAAAAAAAAAAGAAAGAAAGACTTCTTACTGATGGTTGTACTGAAATGTGGAGGTGAGGGT